TAATTGGTGTATAAAACTAGATAATCTACCAGATTTAATCATTACTTAGTGGTTGATGCAACAACATCTGAAGAAATTATTGCAAACTCTGATAGTTTCTCTTTAATTGTTAATTGTACAGCTTCCATAAATTTTAACCAGTCCTAGATTTATAAATAACTTATAAAAATGAATATTGTTATTCAAATATTTTGGATTGCATAGACTTGTACATTCTTCATATGTTAGACAAAATTTTCCACATTTGTCTTTATGTGACTTTATTTTAACAATAAATTTATTTTTTGCCATAGCACAATATTCATGAATTAGTTTTATCACATTGTTTTTACCTTTTGGAAGATGATATTGTTTTTCAATTAATGCTTGACGAATGAACTCATGAATGAAATTGCATATTCTGTGAATTGAAAATCCATTAACAGCCGCAAGTCTGGCCACTTTGCTAAGGAGTGTTTCTTAGAAAAAAATGATGTGAGAGAGTTATTCGTTTTTGCAGGGATTGTCTCACAGTTACTTGAACCAGCAATTTGATCGTCATTCAATTTTTTTTTCTCCATATTAATGTTATGAACATATTGCAAGTGTCTTATTATTGGTTGACCACCCCTTACAACTTAATAATTTATTTGAACATTTCAAACACTTGGCTTGCTCACATGCTTTTTTTTTTGAAAAATATTTCCACACTGAATCAGCCATGATAAAAACAATGTTTTGGCAATTCTAAATTAAAAACATTTAAAATATTAGAAAGAAACTAGTTTTTGGTTAAAGAAAATAGTAAGAATATTTTGAAACTTACTTAACTTCTCAATACGTGGAGAACTGAATGTTATTCAACATTTCTGGAATAATAACTTTAACTACAAGTTTTAAAGAGCAACTAGTGTTTTGTATTTGAAATTTATGTATTTGTTTTGAATCAGGTTTTACAAGCCACTGGGGAGGATTTAGTGTTTTGTATTCAAAATAATGGCTTTTACTTTAGCTTTAAATCACGCTTAATTAAAAAAACTGATTTTCACATTTTTCTATATTATAGGTGATTTCTAAAGTCAGATTATACACATCGAATAGCTTTGTGGACATTAATATATTTTTATATTAAATAAATAATTATCCCAACATAATAAAATATATACATAAGTAATTCTTTGATTTTAACTTTTTCACAGGAAATTATGGTAATTTTCCCAGGTAACAGGAAATATGAAGTTTCATATTTTCCAAGAAATCCTGGTCGGGAATTTCCCATTTTCCGATTGCCGGGAATAACCCTCTACTTGAAATTTCCCAAACTGAGTTTGGATGATTCAAGATTTAAGATTAAACTTTTCAACATATTCATTTTAAAGTCTAAATTTTAGTTTTATCTTTTCATCATTTTTAATTTAAAGTATCTCAGTTAAAAAACTTTAAATTAAATATGATTTTAAAATAAAAATTTTATTTTTGAGTGTAATATATCTTTGCAAGTTTTGTAAAAGGATTAATTTTTTCTTTGTATTTGCTAATTCATATGTAAAAAGCTCTTTCTATCATAGATTAAAATGTGTATAAAAACAATGAAAAAAATGATATTAATTAGTTATTTTAAAAAAAAAAAGGAAAATGCAAACAAAAGATTATTAAGTTATGTATAAGTTGGGAATCCTATAGTTAAGTTGCCTAAATAAATGGAGAATTTAAAAATATCATCAAACATTTATTAAAAATTTTATAATTATTATTGTAAACATTTTTTTTATGAATTATAATTACTATTATTATTAATATTTTATTTTTACTTCAATTCACTTCCTCAAGGCCATAATAACTGTTTCAGTCGAGGAGGTCACTTTTTAGTTTTGGTTACAACCCTCTCTCAACTCTAGAATTCCAAAACGGGATACTTGACAAACAAGGTTGCTGCGCAAAGAAACAAGTTGAGTGCGGTACTACCAAAAATAAGGGAGGATCTTGCTTATTAGGTGAGTGCTCTACTACTACACCACTACTGCTAATTATTATATATATACAATATATATAAGTACATATATATTATATATATATACTTATAAATATTATAAAATCTTATAAATAATAATTATTATAAATTATTATTATTTTAATGGCATGCATTTTTGCACCTTTCTCAACTTTTTAGAAAAAGAAAAAGTAAATTATTTTAGGTCACTTAACTGTTGGATTAGGGAAATTCTATGTCAAATGATCCAGAAATTTTTAAAAATGTCACCCTATATCTTAGATTTTGCTGATTTTTACACAGTAGAGAATACTTTGTTATATAAAAACTCCATGAAAATTTTAGCCGTTAACTTAAAGAAGATCCTGAAATACCATCATTTTACTTTAAACAGATGGTGGCTGAGCCTCCCTAGTCCCTTCACAATTGCAACACTTATTTAGATGTTTAAAGTCACATAACTTTAAAAATATTTAATCTTTTTAGTTAAAAATTTGTAACTGGCTATTTTCAGTGGTGGCAAATCCAATGAAATGATCGAGGTAAAAAAATATTTTTAAGTACCTGTATTTATCAATTTAAATAAATTTAGGCAATTTTTTACATGCCTGATTTTGATGCTCAAGAAACCAATGTGGCCTTGATGATATCAATAACAAAATTATTTCACCTCATTCTATATTCATTGATTTTACAAAAAATATGAAGATTTTGATCTGCAAGTATACTTTTTTGTAGCACAGAATTGCAATTGATTTGATTCACTACCTTCCAGACCAGCTGGAGCTCTGAAAATTTTGGCATTTGTGTAGTGCTAATAAATGTGCATGTTAAAATTGTTTTCAGAGCCCTAACACATTAAGGGAACTGGAGCATGTCCCCTTTTTGTTTGTAGTAGAATCTTGATTTTTCACTATTTTTCAGACAAATTGGAGCTCTGAAAATTTCAGCATTGCTCTAGTGCTGATGAACATGTGTTAAAATTGTTTCCAAGATAGATGACCAGAGGGCTAGAGGACCCACTTTTCTCAACAAAAAAATTTTTTTTTTGCATTTTTAATAAAGTTAGTTTATATTTGTTCCATTTGGTTTTTGATCATTCTGTATTCAATGATTTTTCCTAAAATGTTTTAAGAAAGTATATATATACATATAAGTGTTGCAATTGTGAAGGGACAAGAGAGGCTTGGCCAACGTCTGTTAAAAGTAAAATAGTCGTATTTCAGGATCTTCTTGGATTTAATGGCTCAATTTTTCATGGGATTCTTATATTACAAAGTACTCTCAGCTGTGTAAAAATCATTTAAATCTAAGATATAGGGTGACATTTTTAAAAATTTCTGGATCATTTGACATGGAATTTCCCTAATCCAACAGTTAAGTGACCTAAAATAATTTAATTTTTCTTTTTTAAAAAAAAAGAGAAAGGGGCAAAAATGCATATCGTTAAAATAATAATAAGTTATAATAATCATTATTTATAAGGTTTTATAATATTTATTCAAAATTAAACAAAAAAAAAATTTTTTTTTTGAGAAAATAAGTGGGGCACGGCCTTAGTGCCTTGGGCCATAGAGCCTCTGGTCGACTGCCCTTTGAAACACATGTTCATCAGGATAAGACAAATGCTGAAAATTTCAGAGCTCCAGGTAGTCTGGAAAATAGTGAAAAATCTATCACAAGATTCCACTACAAAAAAGTGTAAAAAAAAAGCACTTGCCTCTCCCCTAATGTCTTGGGTCCCTGAAGACAATTTTAACAAGTTAAAATTGTCTTCAGGGACCCAAGACATTAGGGGGGACCCACATTTATTAGCACTACAAAAAAGCCAAAATTTTCCAATCCATATACAATCCATATACATGCAGATCAAAATCTTTATATTTTTTGAAAGATCAATCAATATAGAATAATGTGTAATATATATTTATGATATTATCAAGGCCACGAGGGTTCAAGAAACCCATTAAAAACAGGTATATAAAAAATTGTCTGAATTTATTTAAATTGATAACTACAGGTAATTAATAATTTTTACACTTCTGATCATTTAATTGTCACCCCCAAAAATAGCCAGATTTTTTAAGTAAAAAAGTCAAATATTTTTAAAGTATGTGACTTAAAACCTCCAAATAAATGTTGCATTTCTGAACGGACAATACAGGCCAGGGCAATATCTGTTAAAAGTAAAATGGTCATATTTTAGGATTTTCTTGGAGCTAGAGGCTAAAATTTTTAAGGAATTCTTATTTTATTAAGCATTCTTAACTGTATAAAAATCAGCAAAATTTAAGATGTATGATGACTTGAGCTGGGTCATTTGACATGGAATTACCCATTACCTAACCTTTTTGAAATACCTAATATTTATAATTGAATATGTATGTAGCATATTTTAGCCATTTTATTGAGCTATTTGACATTTTAGACAAGTAAAAATTTAAAAAGGCTTCCGAAATAAGAATGAGTATGAAAGATTTTTTCTAAAATTTTTGCTAATACATAAAACAAAAATCTGTTCTAAAATGTCAAATATCTCAAATCTCTTGGGGTGGCTTACAATTTACTATTGGTACATTTATTATTGGTAGTATGGAGTGTGACAAGGAGGTACACTGTCTCCCCTGCTATATAACTTATATATAATACATAAAAAAGACTTGAAATATTGCTAAAAGACAATAATAACACTTTTACAGTGGAAGTCAATAAGAGAGTAAAAACCATGATTGTAATAAATTTAAGTAAAAAATTATTTAGTTATTTAGTTATGAATTAAACTATTTAAAACTGTAAAAATTAAAAAAAAAAACTCCTTTAAAATAGCATTGTTAAGTAATTCAATAAATGCTCATGGGTATACCTGCGTACAAAGGTCTAAACAGACACATTTAAAAAAATTACACAAATTTACTTATATAAAATACATATATGTGTATATATAAAAATTCAAAACAAAAATTTTAAAAACTACATTGTATAATAGCAAAATATATAAAATATTTAATAGCAAAATATATAAAAACCTTACTTGTTATATATGTATAGTTGCTTCCATTATAAGGAACTGTTTTATGAGATATTTTTAAACATGTGCAGACTGAATCTTTTAAAAAAGCAGCCAAGGTGTCATTAAAGCTGTCAAGACAATATTTACAACATTCATTTTGAGTGCTATTTGAAACTGAAGTTATATTTCCAACATTGTCTGGCATAAGATTTTCTTTCCATAAACATCCTAAATTATACATAAAATAAGATTTGGTATTAAAATACCACAACATCTTATTTTACATATGTTTTCCTTTTACTGCTAATTTAGATCCTTACATTACAATAATTCACAGGCTCTATAGAAGATCTCCATCACGTTACAACATTTATGAACAACCTGCACCCCACCAAAATAATCATGTTTAACCACTCAGATACCTCAATTAACTTTATGTACCTAACTCTCTACAAAAACCATCTAGGAAAAATACAGAGCACGCTACACTTAAAACCAACCAATACAACCCACTATTTGGGTCAAATAGTGTGTGCCTGCCATTATTATACAGCAACAACAACAATATTAAAAAATTATTTAAAAACAGAAATTATTTTTATTTATTTATTAGAGTTTTGAGTATTTATTTAATGTTTGAGTAGAAAATATTATATATTATAGTTGTTCATAAATGCAATGTCTTTACCAATGGAAGGTATGTTTTATAAACAAAAAATAATTAAGAAAACAAACTAGAAATAAAAGTGTTAAGATATTAATAATATATAACTTTTTGCTTAATATTTATTATTTTAAATTTACCTATAATAATATAATTAGACAATAATAATATCTAAACAGTTTTATTTCTTGTTTATTTTTTTCAATCATTATACTTAATAATATATGCTCTTGTTTTAAATAGCAGCACAGAAGAAACTTAAACTGAAACAATGTAGAATACAATAGAATAATTATAATTATTCTATTTTATCCTACTTTGTAAAATATTGTAATTGTAAATGTATTTTATTCTACTTTGTAAAATATTGTAATTGTAAATGTATTTTATTCTACTTTTTAAAATATTGTAAATTGCTACTTTGTAAAATATAATAACTATAATTATTCTATTTTATCATACTTAGTAAAATATTTGTTATATATATATATATATATATATATATATATATATATATATATATATATATATATATATATATATATATATATATATATATATATATATATATATATATATATCAGAGTTCCTACAGGGTCATTGGTAAAAAATAGGACATTTAAAAAAAAAAACAGGACTGTTAAGGCCTAAAAAACAGGATTTTTCTTAGAAAAACAGGCTATTTTGTGACACAAATTAAAATATATTATTTAAAAAAATAATAAATGAACGAGTAAAAACATTTTATAAACAGTAAAACTGTGTGTATATATATATATATATATATATATATATATATATATATATATATATATATATATATATATATATATATAATATATATATATATATATATATATATATATATATATATATATATATATATGGTATAAACTAGCCCTGAAACAAATATGATGTTTTGTGTATGACTGACAATATCAAATTTCATAAAACAAAAAATAAATAAAAATATTATATATATTATATATATATATATATATATATATAGTAATATATTATATATTTATATAATATTGAAACAAACAATATTATATATAATCTATTATATATATATATATATATATTTATATATATATATATATATATATATATATATATATATATATATATATATATATATATATATATATATATATATATATATATATATATATATATATATATAATATCGAAACTTATAAAGTTTGATATTTTACTTAATAAAAAATTACATAAAAAGTTTAAAGAAAAATGTCTTTTTAGCAGCTTTTATAACTTAATTTGACTGATTTTTTCTTTTTTTCCAAATTTTCAAGTTTTATTTGTAATTCTCTTTTATGCTTTAATCCCATGTCATATCTATATCATAGCTTGTGAAGCTTGGCATACAGTTTTATCTAACTTTACTTTGAATAGTGTTTGTTGCAGTTTTCCATTACCTTCATCAATAGCAGTTTCTGCAACCTTGATGTCAGCTTTGCATATCCGTGATGTAATATAATTTAAATAAAATATTTTGTTCAAAAAATTCCTATTAGTTATATTTTATTAAATGACTAAGTTCAAACAGTAAAATAAAGAAAATATATGAATTTAATTAAAACAATGGGGAGCAATATACTTATATCTGTTTCAATAAGTTCTAGATCTGTTTTTTCCTGTTAAAAAGATTTTAAATTAGATATTGCACTTGTTGCACCTAGAGCAATACGCTTTTCTGGATGAGGAGATTGTGCAAACTTAAAAAGTGAAATATAAAAAGGTAAGTTTTCTTGTAAACACGATGCAGAAACAACGTAAAACTCTTTGCACTCAGTCCTAAATTTTTCATCTACTGAACTAGGTATAGCGGCTCCATGCAACAGCAATTTCACTTTTGTTCCTAATTCAATTGAACTTAATTTTCTATGGTTTTCAATTTTGGAGATATCAATCATTAAAATTTCAGACTGTCACTTAAACTCTCCATTACCATTTATTAACTTTTTAGGAAGAATAAATTTTTGAAGTAAAGAGTTTAATAGTTTACACATCGCAGCATAAAGAATGTGAATAATTGGAGATTCTGTTTTAAATTATACTAAAAATGTTTCAAAATGTTGTGCTGAAAAAGCACAAAAATTTAAATACCCTGTAGTCTAAACTTCATCGCGCAGAGGTTCACTAATACTTTTGTTTTTATCTGTTTTAAACAAAGCATTAAAGTTTTTTAGTTTTGGAAGAAATGTTAAAAAATACTCTTTAAGGTTCACCTCTTTTTTAAGGTTCTCTAAAATTGTAACAGCAACATACTTCATGAAAAGCTATCATGTTTCTACATGCTTTTTAGCAAATTCAGTAACCAAATTAGTTTCATCAACAAAATTAGTATAATCTTTATGCCTGGTACTAGACAACTTAAAAAAAAAGTGAATATCAATAAAAAGTTTATTTTTGTCTGACTAATACTGAAGATACCCATCATACTGTTTTTTTACTTGCTTAGTTGTTGTCACATCAAACTTAAAAGTGAATGTTATTTTTTTAATACTAGATTATAACATACTTTTAACATAAGGGGAAATTTCAAACTGCATTTTATATTAAATTTTTGATTCACATTGCTTATAAGGCTTAGCCACAACAGAATCAGGAAACATAGAGCTAAATCCTGCATTGTCATTTTCAGTTGCCTTGAAACTGTAATTACAATTGACAACATGTAAAGCTTGCATAATTTCTGCGTGAGAGATCTAATCATCAATATGGACATTCGAACATCTAACATTTGAAAGTGTGACAGATTTATTAAATTGTTTTTAGTTGTTTGATATATTTTACAAGGATCTTTACTAACATGATTTTCAACCCTATCATGCTTCACAAGTTGACTAATGCCACTGGCAGATATACTGAAAGATTTCTTACAATAAATGCAATACGCTAAAATTAAATTGTTTACACTTTTGACACCTTTTAAACCAAATAGATTATGATTAAATAAACAAAACACAAATAATAATTTTCTCAAAGTCTAACTTTCTCTGTTATTTCTATTAATGAATGAGTTGTTGAGTGTTTGTTGCGAAAACCATACTGGTGTTTGTAAATAAATTTATGTTTTTCCAAAAAAAGCTAGAGTCTTTGGAACATTGCTTTTTCAAATAGTTTACTTAAGTTAGAAAGAAGTGAAATAGGTCGATAATTGGAATAGTCTAGATAAGAGCCCATTTTGTGTATAGGAATTACTTTGGCTATCTTAAAAGCTTCTGGAAAAATACCATTTTTGAAAGAATTATTTATCATAGTACATAAAGGTTTGGAGATTATGTGAGATACCAGCTTTAGTAAAAATGTTGGCAGACTATTGGGACCAAGGCTTTTATTATTTTTAAGAGTATCTTTTATGAGATTCGCTACCTCATTTTCAGTCACGGGCTCGATGAAAAAAGAATTAATACTAGGTATTTTAAGAAAGTTGCCAAAAGCGCATTTAGAGGGAACAGTATTTTTAAGTAATTCGTCTTGAATAGTCGTAAAATAACTATTAAATACCATTTTAATAGTAAATAGCAACACTGGTATGATCTGAGATGACATTTTCATTGATCTTGAGGTTAAAAGACTTAGTAGAAGTAGATGGTTTGATGTTTATGATTTCCTTAATTCCTTTCCAGGTATTCTTTACATTATTGATGTTGTTATTGAAAAAAGATGCGTAGTACAATTTTTTAGAATACCTTAACAAATTGCTATTTCTGTATAACTTAAATTTAGTAAATAATATATTTTTTGTATTCACATTTTTTGATCTAGTAAATTTTTTATAGAGTATGTTTTTATTAGAAATTGATTTAAGAATACCAGAAGTTATCCAGGGTTTAGATTGAAATTTAATTTGTTTTTTTGTTAGTTCTTTGTAAGGAGCATATCGGTCTAATATTTTTTCGAATGTTTTAAGAAAAAAAATTATAGATTCGTTTATGTTATCATCGTCTTTTATGAGAAGCTCCCAGTTAATATTGGAAATTTCTTGGATAAAAGAATCAGAATAAAATTTTTTAAAGCTCCTTTTAAACATTTTTACTTTTTTTTTAATGGGTGGGTTATTAGAAATACAGACGAATTGTGCCATGTGGTCAGAGATTGAAATTGTAAGATTACCAGAGACTATATCATATCAGTGACATAGATTGTGACAATCTAATTTGATATTCACAAATTAATTTAATTTAATCTAATTTAATTTAAATTAATTTAATCTAATTTGAAGTTAAATTAATTTAATCTAATTGAATTTAAATTTAATCTAATTTAATCTAATTTTAATTTAAGTTAATTTGATATAATTTTATTTAATCTAATTTAAATTTCACAATCTAATTTAATTTAATCTAATTTTTCACAATTTAACTAAAAAAAAAAAATTTAATTGTTTTTTCCGTGTAACGTGAAAAACTTTAAACTTCGGTAAAATTTACAGTATTAATACTGTAAATTTTACCGAAGTTTAAAGTAATATATTACTGTATATATATGTATATAATATATTACAGTAATATATTACTGTAAATTTAAAAGCTAA